GAAGGGGTGCTGATCATGCGGCTGCCCCTCCTCTTCCCTGCCTTGGAGACGACGCAATTAGTCGTCTGCCGAGGCCCTAAAAATAGCCCCAACCCCTTCCCAAGGAGTGATGCATTAAAATAACATGAAAAGGCAATCTTTATCAAGTGGTTAATGTTATTGATGGTAATATAACAGATTTTAAAAGCACTGATAAAAATAATAATAAGTGCTGGGCATCAAATTAATTTTAATGCTTTCATTGCAAGCTGAGAGCTATATGGCTGCTGTGAAAGAAGAAATTGTTCTCAAGGAAGTTCCCCAAGGAGCATCATTCAGCGGATGGACAATCCTTGGCTTCAGTAGCTGTCACTGTGAAAATGAGACCCAAGATTTATAGACAAGGCTCTTTCTTGAGTTGAATTGCTCACCAGCAATATAACCCTCAATAGCATTGATCCTTTGCACTAATAAATATGCATCATTTCCCAGGTTCCTTCACAGGGGACTTGAGATTGAGCCTTCAGGCTTTTCGAGATACACTACTAAAACAAGAAGGATTATTTAAGAATGGTGAGAAGTCCAACCTGTTAGCCTCTATGCCATTTGAAACCAGAGAGAAATGTTTCAACAGACCTTGGCACATTCTTTTTACTTTCTTTCTCCTCTGACTGATTTCATTCCCTTTTGTGTGCACTCCATATTGCATTATTGGATCTCATGAAACTGAATAAGCAAGAGAGGGCTAGCCAAGTAACCACTGTGGGAAAAAGACACCATGGAGCACAAATACCACTGATCTGAGTGCTCAAATAGTGCTCAAATTCAGAATGTATTACTAAGGAGGGCAGGTACGATGAACATCAAATTAAATGTTTGCAGAGTATGAAATGCATGCTTGCAATGATTGCTTGAGGAAGAATATGCTGAATCTGCCTTTGAATTGAGAATAGAAATGGTGAGCAGAGTATTCAATCATTTGTTGAATAGTGAGTCAACTCAATAGCCTGCCCCATTGATTCAGCAGGGCTATTCTAGCTGGGACTAGCAATGGGATTTGAGCAAATATTTTGAGTCAGAAATCCGTCATGCTTAAGGAGAGATGATGTTATGGATGTGGCCTCTACCACCAAGTGGATGGGTCCTAGAGTTCTTGTCACCATCATGTGCAGACATTGATGGCTCTCCAGTCTCATGGAAGGGCTTATATTGAGCCTTACTAAAGCTAACTGTATAGTTTGTGATATATGCCATCCTCTGTCAACAATGCCCTTCATCTCTCTACATGGGGCAAACAGGCCAGGCCCTGTGCCAGAGGATAAATGAAGATAAATCAAATATTAGGAATAGGAATACACAAAAACCTCTTGCAGAACACGCCATTTCCAAAACCTTGAACTGAATGCAGACATACTGCATTGGACAAAGATGTAGTACACTGACAGTATTGTGGTCCGTTGTTGTAGTTGTTGTTGTTGTTGTTATGTGCCATCAAGTCATTTCAAATTTATGGAGACCCTAAGACAACCCTATCATTTTCTTGGCAAGATTTGTTGACATTCCCTTCCCCAAAGGCTGAGAGAGTGTGACTTGGCCAAGGCCTCGTGGCTGAACAGGGAATCAAATCCTAGCCTCCAGAGTCATAGTCCAACGCTCAAACCATTACACCATTCTGGTCCATAGGTTAGCTGAAAAGGTGTAGATCAAGAATGAGAAAATGAAAAAGAGCCTGAAAAAGAAAGGGAGTGAGAAGAACAAAAGGCCCATGAAAGCAAACTTTTCTCCACTTTTGTTTCCCCCCCCCCCCCCCCCCCCCCCCCCCGCAACACAGCTTGCAAACAAACTCTTTCAGGGCTTAGATTTTACCCTGGAGAGAGCAGCATACATCTGGCTGCTGGAAAATTCTTCTTTTTTTCTTTCTTTCTTTCTCCTCTCCTCTGGTCTGCACTCTCTTCAATGCTTCCATAAGTAATGGGCTCATTAAGACTTCATGAAACGGTGATTTTAGCATTCAAGACATTTTCCTTCATTTTAAACACCTATTGAATTTTGCCGACCTGCACAGAAAGAAAGAAAAAGAATCCAACTAGTTATCTCAGAAATAATCATGCAATTTGGCATTTAGGAAGTATGGCATGCAGAACAGGATTAATATCCGTATTGCTTTATTAAATATCAAGTTTGGCCTATGTGAAAAGGCTTCCTGGAATGGGAAAGGCAGTGGGATTCAACAGTTCAGCAGAATTGGTGGTTAAATCTCTCTCTCTCACACACACACACATACACACACACAAAGCTGTTAGTGTATACACTACAAAAGTCCTGATGATAGGGGTAAGTGAAGTGAAACCTGTGTGCCACATATTCTCCCTCGGCCCATTTTTGGCAGCAGGTGAAGAATTTCTTTTATATTCCAGCAAGCTTTTAGGGACTGATTATTTTTCACAAGAAAACATGTTTCTATGGCTCTGTATTACTTTTACTCTTCATAAGAAAATAATAGTTTTAATGGTTTTCATTTAATACCACTTTACTCTCATTTTTTGCACATTTTAACCTTATGCATTTTGATTGCATTTTATTTATATGCATTTATTTGATTCTCTTCATTTTGTAAGCTGCCTTAAGTCCCAGTTTAGGGGAAAGGTGGGATACATGGATTCAAGGGTTCATGGATACTGCTCACTGCTGCTCCAGTTGCCTTTTCAATGTGCAAGAAAAGAGAGCAAAAAAGGTGTTTAGAGAAGGTGACTAAGGGATTGTTGTTGTTGTTGTTGTTGTTGTTGTTGTGTGCTTTGAAGTTGTTTTTGACTAATAGCATCCCTAAGATATCATGGGATTTTCTTGGCAAGATTTGGTCAAAGGAGCTTTGCCATTGCTATCCCCTGAGTCTGAGAGTGTGTGACTTGCCCTAAGTCACCTAGCTGGGAATCAAACCCTGGTCTCCAGAGTCATAGTCCAACACTCACACCACTATCCCACGCTGACTCCAAGGGCTTGTCTCCACCAGAGAAAAATGCCATCCTCACCCCAAAACCAGTGCTGACAGTCCTGATGACGTATGGCTACATTTGGGGG